GGGACTTGAAAAACCTTGGTGGCTCTCTACTCATGTTGTTACAGTTGTCTTGGTTACAGCTCTCAAGTTTTTTTTTGTGCCATTTCCACATCTTTAGAAAATATGAAAAAATTGAAGTGAAATCAACCTCTTCTCTGGAGAACAAACTTTGATTTCTCTGTCTTGTGAGTTTGCAGTCTTGCAGTTTTTCTCCTCCACCTGTAACATCACTGCCCCTCCACCTGCCATACAGTAGGTTACTAACAAGATTACTTATATAATACAGTGATATAATACATGTTTAGTATGCTTACTTATATAAAACAGTAGTATTAAACTTACCTTGTGTTTTCACTCTCACTTAAGTTCCTCTCCCTTTGCCATCAATCCAAAATCAGCTGAGCTGCAACATTATACACACAGGTAACAATCAACATAATCACAAGGACACAATATGGCTCTGCTAAAAACACTCACTCTTACACGCACCAAAGTTATATTTATCTAATATTTAACTCCCTCCACCCCCGCATACAATCCCGTTTAGAAGCCCCTCTTCTCTAATTCAACAAAGTTGGACCAAATAGACATTAAGAGAACGGAATTTACAATTAAAAGGCTGTTCAACGTCTGTTGCTAACTTGCTTCGGTATCCTAGCTTGATCTGTTATCTGTAAACGTTCCCTAAATCTACTAATTTAGGGATAATCCACTGACATCCTTTAATACACATGTTCATTTGAATCAGATGTACTGATAATATCCGCAATATAAATCTTTAAACTTCTTCTTACCTTTAAAAGTCCGTCACGAACGGTCTATTATGCTGCAACTCCACAGCTCTGCTAGCCTTGGCGCTAACTTCCGGGGAACGATTGAGAGGCTCCACGATCCGCCATTGCTGTAAAAAAGTGGTCCATTGGAGTGAACGGAGATGTCATAACTCTTCTATTATATGGCTCTGGGTCATCCCAAACAATGCCACACAAGTGCGCATGCGCGCAGTGCACTCACAAAACCGGCAGACAGGTCCACATAAACTACCGGTATGCTTAGTCCGACTTTAGTTACTGTACTGCAAAAAGCAGACGGCGCTGCGCTCAACACACACACAGACTCAAAACCATGGACACACTGGCACATAAATTACATAAACAATTTATAGGCCTAAATTGCATAAGCTACAGTATTGCAACTAAGCAGACAGTGCTGCTTCTCTCTCTATCTCTCCACTTTCAACTTTAAATCTATTTAAAACTCATAACAAACAAACAAAATGTCCAAAGTTGTCCTGAAATTAACTTATTAAATAAACAAAACGAAAAATATAGCCATACTTATGCAAACAACATTGAATCTGGACTTGACATTATTCTGATTATAATTGCAAATAAGCAGACAGCGCTGCCACACACACACACACCTTGGGTTTTGAAGACTGTTAAATCCGAAATGGATTAACAAACTTTGCAGCCCAGTTTCCCAGCTTTGCAGTCTATCCACGGGTAAGCCTCTTGTTTCCTCCGCCACATCTCCTCCGTCCATACCTCTGCTCTGGGAAAGGTGAGCTTGAGCTAGCTAGAGCTAGCTAGCATTATCCACGTCTTTAGGCGGCTCTTCTGATGATGTATTACTTGCAGCTTCACTTGTAGCTTCGGTGCTGCTAGCCTCTTTCTTCTTGTGAATTATATTCTTTTTAGAAAATAAGTCAAGTAAAACATGTTAGCCTGCCATTATAGAGCTTTTTCGTTAGTGTTCTTGAGGGAAGGAGCTGCCGCAAAATCGGCGGGCGCGGCGAGCTGGCTCGCCGTGGGTGTCAGTGACCGCGGGGTCACGAGCGTGATGATGAATCATACTTTAAGGAAATCGTTTTTATTATAATTACTGTGAAATGTATTATGTTTTCGTCATTATTACAACAAATACACACTTGCAACTGATAACACTGGCAATGATTTTATATTTATTAGACTTAAAAAAAAGATCATGCTCCAAATAAGTGGGGGTACGGCGTACCCCCGCGTCCAACGCCCACTACACCACTGTGTGTGTGTGTGTGTGTGTACCGTGGAAACACAAGAAACACCGGCTGTTGTTATGCTTGCGGTGATGTTACATTACTCCGTTCTCTGCTTGTAATTATGCCGTCACAAGCTTCAAAGTTGTATTTATCATCTGAATTTGCCGAAACAAGTTTAATATTCTGAAAGCCAATACGTTGTTTATTTGAAAACAGATGAAAACAAACTGTCTTTTATATAAAATTGAAGTATTATACAAGTAAAACTACATTTTGCTTTAATCCCATGTAATTGTAGAATGAACACAGTCTTCCTTTGAAGATGTATAAGTCAGGTGTCTTGAGTAGTCAAAATTACCTACAAATCATTGTACACATTTCTAAATATTATTTTCCACTTGTTACCATTGTGAGGCTATTTTTATGCAGCTCTGCGTGATTTTGTGGCTACAATTCAGACTAATACGCTACCAGAGGTGGAATAAGTACTCAGATCTTGTAGTGAAATTATAAGTACTCAGATCTTGTACTTCGCAAAAGTAGAAGTACCAGAGTGTAGGAATACTCTGTCACAGTAAAAGTCCTGCATTCAAAATGTTCCTCAAGTAAAAGTAGGAAAGTATTCTCATCAGAATCTAGTGAAAGTAGCGACAGTAAAAGTAGTCGTTGTGCAGATTGGTCCATTTCAGAATAATATATATGATATATTTTCTAATGATTGATCATGAAAGTGTTCTCAAAGCTGGTAAAGGTGCAGCTAGTTTGAATGACTTTGTATACTGCAGGGTAGCTGGTGGATTTACTCCAGGTGGAACTAAAGTCTGATTTAACACTTGGTTAGATTTCACATCATTCATCCACATCTGAACAGTAACTAAAGGTATTAAATATTTAGTGGAGGAAAAGTACACCATGTACCTCTGAACTGTAGTGGAGTAGAAGTACACCATGTACCTCTAAACTGTAGTGGAGTAGAAGTACACCATGTACCTCTAAACTGTAGTGGAGTATAAGTACACCATGTACCTCTAAACTGTAGTGGAGTAGAAGTACACCATGTACCTCTAAACTGTAGTGGAGTAGAAGTACACCATGTACCTCTGAACTGTAGTGGAGTAGAAGTACACCATGTACCTCTGAACTGTAGTGGAGTAGAAGTACACCATGTACCTCTAAACTGTAGTGGAGTAGAAGTACACCATGTACCTCTAAACTGTAGTGGAGTAGAAGTACACCATGTACCTCTGAACTGTAGTGGAGTAGAAGACACCAGTACCTCGAACTGTAGTGGAGTAGAAGTACACCATGTACCTCTGAAACTGTAGTGGAGTAGAAGTACACCATGTACCTCTGAACTGTAGTGGAGTAGAAGTACACCATGTACCTCTGAACTGTAGTGGAGTAGAAGTACACCATGTACCTCTGAACTGTAGTGGAGTAGAAGTACACCATGTACCTCTGAACTGTAGTGGAGTAGAAGTACACCATGTACCTCTGAACTGTAAGTGGAGTAGAAGTACACCATGTACCTCTGAACTGTAGTGGAGTAGAAGTACACATGTACATATGAAAATGTACGCTCTGAACTGTAGTGGAGTAGAAGTACACCATGTTACCTATGAACTGTAGTGAGTAGAAGTACACCATGTACCTTGAACTGTAGTGGAGTAGAAGTACACCATGTACCTCTGAAACTGTAGTGGAGTAGAAGTACACCATGTACCTCTGAACTGTAGTGGAGTAGAAGTACATCATGTACCTCTGAACTGTAGTGGAGTAGAAGTACACCATGTACCCTCTGAACTGTAGTGGAGTAGAAGTACACCAGTACCTCTGAACTGTAGTGGAGTAGAAGTACACCATGTACCTCTGAACTGTAGTGGAGTAGAAAGTACACCATGTACCTCTGAACTTGTTAGTGGAGTAGAAGTACACCATGTACCTCTGAACTGTAGTGGAGTAGAAGTACACACCATGTACCTCTGAACTGTAGTGGAGTAGAAGTACACTCTTAAAACTACTGGGTTAAAAAATAACCCAATCATAACCCAGCTGCTGAGTCACTATAGGACAGAACACGCGCTGGGTTGTCTTAACCCATATGCTGGGCTGGATCATTTGAACCCATTGGGTTGTTCATTTGACCCAAGCTAGTGATTGAAATTAACTATATTGTTGGGCTAAATATAATATAATAATAATGTATAATGGTGTAATGAATAATCTCCAAACACACCGTGTATATATATATATATATATATATATATAAAAATGCATTTATTCATAATTTGAACATCTTTGGCAAATCGTCAACATTCAGGCCACTATAAAAGAACAATGCAAACAATACAAATTCAACCCCCCCCCCAAAAAAACAAAGAGCCTTAAAACAAATGATATATTACAAAGTGCTGTTATCTGGACCAACTTCTCTTTCAGGTTTAAATAACATGAACATGTTTAAATATAGAGATAAAACATTTCTCTGCCCAGCAGAAACTATATACAGACACAAACATAACAAGGTAAATAAATAAATGAAGTAAATTAATAAGTAAATAATAAGTAAATTAAATCACGTAAAGTAAGAAAAATAAAATAAATGAATTAACAGGAATAGTAGGTACTGTAAACGCGGGTCAATGTTTTGACACAATTAAAGTGTGTGCCTACTGTCTTCTGCAATCATGTTTTGTGTCAATCATATTTTTAGAGAGCAGCTGTCAACTTCTTTGACACACATCACTAAAAGGCTACTTCTCTCTGTGTACCTTTAGGCCAAAGCTGCAATTGATGTCCTCATAAATTTGACATTTGAGGATTCATGTCCATCAATGTTATATACTGCCTGTTGGATAAACTCCCAGATGGGGAGACACTGCTTTGTGTAATTGAGGTCAAACACAAAGAAAGCCTTAAAACACAGATCTACTGCACCCAGCAAAGTGTCCGTTTCAATGGCGTTGTCTGACACAATGGTGAAGGTCTGGCATGTTGTCTTGTCATGTCATCACCAAGACACAAGATGTGCGGGAAGGGTTGAGTTCTCTCTGCTGTCTGTAGGTACTGTACCATGTTGGTGCCCACCTGTTAATTACACAACAGTTACTTGCAATATAACCTACCATTTAAGTTAAGCATGTTGTTTTTATTATCTTTTTTATTGAAGTATGAAAATGCTAGTATATAAACACAGAAACACCCACCATTATTGAAGTAGAAAAACAAAAGTAAAACTTACTGGTTGGATATTAATGAAGGACTTGCGGGACTCCTCTATGGTGGGTCTGTGGACTTTTCCTCCAATCCTGTAGACCGATGGAGGAAGCAGAATCGGCAGGACTTTCAAAGCTCGGTCTACGCAATATAAGAAAAATACATATTAACATCAACATTTAAATAGTATATAAAGATTGATATTTCTGAACCAATATTGACTTTTCTGCCCTGGTGTTGAATGGTAAAAACAAGGCGTGAATTGTATAGCCTATTATAATCACAGGAAGTGTTGTGGCATCTTATCAGAATCTGAATCGTTATTGTCACATCACACGTTTACAGGTGTAAAACAGTGGGTGAAATTTGTTTTTGTGCAAGCTCCATCGTTTTGATTGTTTCCAGAAAGAGAAAGAAAAGGAAGGGGGGGAGCAGGAATCAAAGAAAGACAAAATGTATCTAATGAAGTGGTTCACAAACTTGTTCATGTATTTATGTATTTATCAACAGACTCCCATCCGAAAACATGTTGTGCAAGGGACCCCATACAAGATGATTGTTAAAATATTTTAAAAAATTGCAGATCCACAAGCTCACAACGAGTCTCATTGGGACGCAATGCAAGCATGTAGATCTGCTATTTTCAAAGAACCGGTGTGTGTGTGTTACATAGTAAGAAATAGCTTACCTGGTGTCATGTCATCAAACACCAAGGGCAGTTTTCCCTCTCGCTGGGCATATGTAAGGATTTGGTCACTCATAGTAACCCAGTTCTGAAACAGTTTTCCTACTGCCTCTGGATGAAGCTGCTGGAAGTCTTGTGATATCTGATACATTTTGAAAAACATGAAAAACAATAGAACAGTGTTTAAAGAAATTATATGGGCTTGTAGTACCTGTTAGGAAAAGGGTTAGGGGACAATTTGACAGCCAGTGTCACTTCAACAGGTAAATTATTAAATTATTACAAAGTATATACTGTAGGGTCCAAGTGGTTAAACATAAACTTGTAGTGCATTGCAGAGTATCAGTCAAATTGTCACGATCTGTCTGTGTTGTGTTTTGTCATGTCTAGATCTGTTTTTGGTTTCCTGTTTTATTTTGAAAAGTGTTCACCCCCCCCCGTCTTGTCTGTTGCTTCCTGTCTCTATGTTCCCTCCTGCCTGATAACCCAATTGTGTTCACCTTGTGCCTCTGTGTTTTCTCCTCCCTCCTCACCTGTGTCTTTTCTTCCTTCCTGTGTTTTCCCTCCTGTGTCTGATTGTGTTCACCTATTGCCTTTGTGTTTCTGCATTCCCTCCCTGTGTCTTGCCCTGTGATTACCCCTCTTTGTATTTAGTCAATCAATCAATCAATCAATGTTTATTTATATAGCCCAATATCACAAATGTTCATTTGTCTCAGTGGACTTCACAGTTTGTACAAAATATCAGTATGACAATACAATTTAGTCTTGTCTTCCCCTGTGTTCCTTGTCGGTTCATTGTCTTTCCTGTCACCCTCCATGTTTGTCAGTGTCGTTTTTGGCTGGATGCTACCTTGTGCTACCTGTTTATGGATTCATGGTTTTGTTTTGTTTTTTCATTGTCAACAACTTTTTGTAATTAAAGCTCACCTTTTGTTACACTTTGAAACCCGCTTTTCCTCAATCTGCATTTGGGTCCTGCCTTACTTCAAATCCTAACACAAATAGAGTATCATTCAAATAGACAAAACCGCAATAGCAAAAATAATTTCTTACCATGCCAGGATTGTCTAAAAGCCTAGGGAACTCAGTCAAGATTTCCGGGAGGCTTTTAGATCCATTGCTGCGAATCCACTTGCCTCTATGTAGAGCTGTTTGATTCATGTAGTCCTCAACTTGGGACACTGGATACCTATTGACCTTCATCCATTCAAACCATTTCTAGAAGTTTTTCAGGAGGCACATCATATTCTGTTGAATGATAAGTACAGAGGTCCTCAGATTCATTATAGCTGATTTCAAACATTTGGGGTTCTGGCCTACTTGGGAGAGTGTGTGAAAAGTCGCCAATCGGTCCAGCGGTGCCTGAGACTAGCTTTTAGAAGATGGATGGACAGAAGAGTCATGGGACCTAAAATATAATCCCTTGCATTTGCGTATTCCAGCCTGGCGGGGATAATTAATATTGGTTATTAGTATTACCTGGTGTACTAGGGACGGTCTGTTCCTTCTGTTGTTCTTGGTGGCGTGGTCGTTTCAGCATTCTCATGCGCTTCCTGACGTTCCTCAAGCGCTCCTCCAGGAAACCTGTAGCAGGTTTGTGATTTCGGCCAGGTGTGTACCAAGCTCCCTGTAAAAGAGAAAATTAGATTCAGTTTAAATTGGCCTGGCGTAAACCATGAAGATGGTTACATGGGATTTTAAGGAGCAATCCAAAAATGTGCGTGTGACTGTGCACTAGGAAAAACGTTTGAGCACATTTCTTTTAGGTGTGTGTGTATGGAGTGTTCTCCTTTATGTGTTGATAGCCAGTGTTGGACAGCAACATCGTACATTTACTTTACTGACATTTCTTATCTCATCTGTTTGAAAGTGTATGTTCACAGAATAATTCATATGCGGCTCACTCATTTATGACTTAACATCTCTGTCTCCTATTGATCTGAGTATATTATAAAGAATAGCCAGTTAATTGAAGCATTATAGCACAGGCCTTTGTCAGATGGTATTACGCTGTTTTTTTCCTGCTTCGAATAGTTCTCTCTTTTTTCACCATACCTGTGTTTGCATCGCTGAAACCAATGAGCACCTACGTATGAGAATGGCCCTGACTCCATTTCAGCCCAGATTTACAAACTCCTGGCAGGACAAGCTCCAGCTCAATTCTCGCACTGAATTTAAAAAAAGCGAGTGAGGGACTACAATATAAGAGGGAAAGAAAAATAAACTTTAAAACTGTTCAATTGTTATGATGTAAAGACTGATATTGTTCTATAATCGGCTGAAACTGTTAAGTCATGATGTGAAACGGTTAACAAAGAAAAAGAGAAACTCAAGCTGCTGCTACACTTTATTTTATTTATCTAAAATTAAGCACTTTAAGATGCACATATTTTCAAAAGCTATTTTATTTATTAGAGGAAACTGAGTTATTTAGTTTGTTAAAGTTTCACCTATTCTGTTTACAGTTCTGTCATCACATTATTTAATACCATTTGTTAAAACACTGTTGTTTCTTTTGATGTGAAATATTATTTATTTTATTTAAATTAAAAGCAATGTTAATTTTGTTCAAAATGTGTTTAGTTAATTTAATAATATATGTATTTTTGAATCAAGTATTCATCTTTATTGTCTTCATTGTTAGTTTCCACATGCCTAAAACAACCTCAAGCTACATCTAAAAGTTGATGGTAAATAAGAGCGTTTGAGAAATTGTGCAAGGCATACAGTAATAGTCCGAATAGTCGATTAATCGTTTCATTAATCGATAGATTAATCGATTATCAAATTAGTTGTTTGTTGCAGCGCTACCTTGCTCTTTTTAATATATAACAAAATATTTAATAGTAACATCTCAAAATTGTCTCAATAAAAATTAACTTACCTTTAAATGTGTCAATCAAGTTCTCAAGCTGCCATGCAGTCAACGTCTCTGACAAACGTGTCCATGGTGAAACCCTCTACTAGAATCAAATCAGATTAAGTACATTAGAATTTCACAAAACTGTGCAATGTTTTAACATTTATTGTAAGGTACCAAGCTACTAATGTACAGTTACTACAGGGGGTCTGCCAAATCTCTCCATGAAGACATTTTAATCATTCACGAATTATTATTATTTGCCCCTGACACGACCTAGCTGGTTGGTGTGCTATGCTATGCTAAGCTAAGCTAAGCTAACCTATGGTAACACGTCGATGGCAGGGAACTAAAATGTTACATTATGTGGTTCGGTGACTCCGGTCACTCACTCCTAAAAATAACTTCAATAGTTGCTAACTTTAATGATTAATGTAATTAATAAATAACTCTAGTAACCTAAACTTACCTACATCAATGAGCTTCTTTGTCGTCTGTCTGTCCGTATGTGTGAAAGCCCGCGCCCGAGCTGCATGCTGGGAAAGAGAGTTGTGACGTAAAAGCCATCTGATTTATACTGCCTTATTGTACATCTAATACTTTTGCACACAAATCCAAAGCTATAGTTCAGACCCATTTATAACTACTAGTAGAACACACGTCTTTGTAAAATAATAATTCATCGCATCACAACGTAAATTCAAGGCTCTTTCACTCATTGACAGAAATGTAAAACATTTGTAGCCGACGTTAACTGCTAATGTTATACTTTGCACAGTCTGTTAAATGCCTACAGATCCCTATTGAACTGTTATCACAACTCATTAAAAAAATATAGGTTACAGAATTGTATAATTATATAAATATAGGTAAAATATAGGTTACATACCTTGTGTTTTGAAAAAGATGATTCCAGAATGATTCAGAAGTGGGAAAATGAATAAAGCAACCTCTGGGTTAAAAATAACCCAGGCGGGTGTTCAACTGCAATTGAAGCCCTAATAACCCCTTTGACCCAGCATGAACAACCCACCAGTGTGTTTACAGTACCCAAATAACCCATAATTATGACCCAGCCAAATCAACCCAGCAATGTGTTTATAGAAATAACCAGTGCTGGAATTGGGCCGGTACTCACCGGTACGCAGTACCGGCACTTCTGGTTCTGACCCATGGAGTACCGGCACTTCTTGCTCAGTACCGGCATGCTGGCGGTACTCCGGTACTCATGCACCGTGCCAGTACTCAACACTCTCCCGCCGTTCTTATTATACATCCATATATATATATATATATATACAGCCGCCCGGTAGCTACTCAGTAGATGCGTCATGAGGTGCCGAACGGACATTCTCATCGCTCTAACCGCTGGAGTTTCACAGCGGCTGTCAGCTGTTTACTCCTGTCATTCAAACAGAACGTGCTGGAGAGGGGGCGGGGCTTATCTTCTCCATGTAAATACTGTGGTGGAAACGACTATGTCAAAATTAACCTATTTGACCGTGATTTAATAGTAATACACGTTTCAAAATAATAATAATAATAATGCCGAAGTAACAACATACTGAAAACTGTTAGTAAAACCATGTTTTAATGCTTTACAATTTACATACCTAGATGCACGTGTGTTGTGTTTATGCAGTGCAACTCCCACCCAGTGGGTGGCTATGTAGAGTGATAGAACAGAGCAGGCACGCCCCCGAGAGAAGGAAAGCAAGTCACGTCACAAATTAGCATTTCTAAAATGTTAGCGTGGATTAATAAAAGTGCAAAAAGACAGCGGTTGTCGCCGGAAGAAACTTCAAATACAGAGAATGCTGTGCCTGTGTTGGAAATTGTGTCTGATGGGGAGCTTTCTTTGGTTGATCCTCCTGCTCCAAGTTCTAGTGCATTAGCATTAGCACTAGCTCCGCCGCCTCCTCCAGAGCCTCTAACGTTAGCTGCTGCAGGCGCAACTGCCACCACCAACACCGGGCAAAGCGATGCACCTGACTGCTGGACAACGGACCAGGTGCAATATTTTTGCAAGACCAATGCATGGCTCCTTCTTAAAGATAAGAAGCTAGGATGTCAGATATGCAGAGATCATGTCAAATCTTTGGGAATACACACTGGACAAGGACTGAAACTGTCAACTGAATGGGGTGAGTGTGCAGTGTCTCATTTCGGTGTTGACAAGGGCAAACAACAAGCTAGCCTGAGAAAAAAAATCAAAGAACATAAAGAATCACAAGCCCATGTAAAAGCTGCTGACATCCTTACATCTGCTTCACGTGAAACTATTCAACATCAAGTGCAGTCTATGCATAAATCTGAATTAGACACCACTATCAGAGTTTTTCGAACGGCATATAAAATTGGCAAACATAGCCGGCCATTCACAGACATGCCAATTGATTTGAATGTACAGAAACTGAATGGGCTGAACGTGGGCAGGGTTTTGCACTCCAATAAAACCTGTGGCGAAATCATCGACCACATAGCTCATGAGCTGAAGAAAAAAATGGCAAAAGACATTACAGAAAACCAAAGAAAACTCTGTGTTTTGGTCGATGAATCTACCACTATTAGTGGTAAAACAGTGCTTGTTGTGTGTCTACGCTCAGCATTAGCTGATGCTGAGCCCGAAACGTTTTTTTGGGAGCTGATCGAGTTGGATGGAACAACGGCTGATGACATCACAAAGGCGTTAATGGAGTGTCTTGGAAGAGATTTTAACGAGGACTTTTTAGGTCAGTGTTTCGTTTCTTTTGCATGTGATGGGGCTTCAGTCATGCTAGGGAAGAGAACAGGCGTTGCTACCCAGTTGTGTAGTAAATTCCCAAGCCTGTTTGTGTGGCACTGCTCCAATCATCGTCTAGAGCTGGCAGTTGGGGATGTGGTCAAGGAGGTCTCAGGGCTCAATCATTTCCAGATCTTTTTTGACAAACTCTATTCCTTGTTCCATGCCTCCCCCAAAAATCAGAGGCAGTTAGTGCAGTGTGCGCAAGCAGTCGGACAGCGTCTCCTGGTGATAGGGCGTGTTTTGTCCATCCGCTGGGTGGCTTCAAGTGAAAGGAGCGTCAGAGCAGTCTGGGAAAACTACCGAGTGCTTCATGATCACTTCACAAATGCTGCAAACGACACGAGCAGGGATTCCAGAGACAGAGCAAAGTACAAGGGCCTGGATGATGTGCTCACATCTGCAACGTTTGTCAGCAATCTGGGACTGATGTACGATGCGCTCACAGAGCTCAGCGACCTCTCTCGGCAACTCCAAAAAAGAGAGATGACACTGCCTACAGCAGATAGGCTCTTAACTCGAGAAATACGAGTTTTTGAATCCATGGTCACCATGCCTGGCCCACACATGACTACAGTTCATACAGCTCTAGCTGAGAAGTCCTTCAAGGGTGTTGCCCTGCGTGAGAATGGCAGGCTTGTACAGATTCATGCAGGTCAGTTTTTCCGCAGTATGGTAGAGAATCTGAGACACAGAATGACTTCCACAACCTCCTCTCATGTCAGCACAAGATAAATCCCATTACATGGCCGGGAGGCCCGGGACAATCAGCTAATCCAGGACATGAAAGTTATCCATCCTGGAAGTTGGCCTGAAGAGGAGTTAGACGTACAGTATGGGGACGTAGAGGTGCTACGTTTGTGCGAAGTGCTGAAAGTGGACAGAAGAGAGACTGTTCAGGGCTTTCGCAAATACAAGGAAACCAGGGCATCCCGTACACCTGCTGCCATGGAGCCTCTACTGAAAGCAGTCCGAACCATCGCTGTCTCCACTAGTGAGTGTGAGCGGGCATTCAGCTGCATGAACGATATCCTTACTGCAAAAAGGAATGCTCTCTCTGTCAGCCGACTGTCCAGCCTGGTTTTCATTAAATGTAATGGACCATCACTAGGACAGTTCAATCCGGAACAGTATGTGAGGTCCTGGCTGGCAAAGGGAAGGAGAAGTGCTGATGAAAGAGCCTGTCCAGCTCCAGCCCCTGATACTGATGTCCCCAAGGCCTTCTGGAGCCTTTTCTAACAATGTGAAGTATATTGCAAAGCAGCTCACCCAGTGAGAAGACTTTTGGCATAATGTGCCGATTTGTACAGATCCTGGAGATAGAAGGACTTCAGACCAACCAGGGAGTTATCTGATCAGCTTGGTGTTCAATGTAACTCTTTACCATGGCTCAGACTTTGTTACTTGCAGTTACAGTTTCTCATTTTAGATTGTGCAAATTTTGCATTTGTTTTTACATGTTCTTTGTTCATGCTCTTTATCATTTTTCTGAGTTGGAAAGTTAGATTGCATCATAGTTTACTTTATACATATTTGTATTCTTCAGTGGTGAAGTATATTGCAAAGCAGCTCAGCCATGTGAGAAGACTTTTGGCACTTTTTCGTTTTTCGTTTTCTGAGTTGGAAAGTTAGATTGCATTCAAAATGTACAGAAATACTTAATTTTGTTAAAGCTTTTTATAAAAAATGCTTCTGACCAGAGCTTTGTTTCCTTGTCATTAATGTTGAACACCACCAGAGGGGCTCTCACCTGAAAGGTCTCTGCTTCATGTGTCTTCAGCAGAAGATCTAGACTTTGATTGCTATATTTTCAGTTAATATTGACCTTACTGAGCTTTAGCCATATCCGCTGCCTATCATAAAAAATGTTAAGTACAGTGAACCTTTCTAAAATATACAGTAGTAAAGAGACAAACCCACCAGCATTATAGTAGCCAAATTCTTGTTTGTGGGCTGTATATATAAAATTGACTTGAAAAAGTTGCTGATTTTAGAGTACTGGCACCTTTTTCATTCCAATTCAAGCACTGGAAATAACCCAGCATTTTTAAGAGTGTACACCATGTACCTCTGAACTGTAGAGGAGTAGAAGTACACCATGTACCTCTGACTTGTGTTTACTGCCAACCTAAAAGTACCTCAAAAATAGTAATCAATAATGTATTGAAAAGTTATTTGGCTGATTGTTTTATATTGGCTCAGACAGGTTATATGGGACATACAGATGGGTCACTCATTTTGAAATATTAAACTTAGTTTTTTTTTTCTTTAATTTTTCATCCTCAAGTAGAATGCTATTATGAAACACACATTTGTTTGTTTATAGCATAAAGAACATCTGATTTAATGTGAGGTAGGGAAATAATCATTTGAGTATGTGTATATAAATATGTAATTTACAACAGCTGTAAGATGCTTGAAAAGCTGGAAAATGCACCTTGAAAATGCTTGAAAAGTGCTTGAATTTGACTTTGGAAAAGGTGTAAGAACCCTGTACTATAACACATTTACACATCCAGTTTGAATGAAAAGTATTCTACTTTGGAGAAAAAGCATTTGAACAGTCACTTCCACTGTGTTCTCCATGGTGTTAACACTGTTGAGAGATAGTGTCAGTATGGTAATAGGAGATATATTATGGGAAGTTAATCTCTGAAGAGTCAGAGCATATATAACAGGAAGTGGGATATCAGTGTTTACTCAAAGGAATGAAAGCAACTCTATTTTTTATCAGCAAACGGGAATGACTCAAGGCAACTTCTTTTTTTTGGAAGATAAATAGTTTAATTTGGTTCAAGTACAGTTTAATTGTTATTCTAAGCAGAGTTTCACTTCTGCCCAGAATAAAGATTCAGTCGGGAAAAGGATTTCACTCCTGTCCAGATCAAAAATGCAACTGTACTTGAACAAAACAAAACGTATTGTTATAGAAACAATGTTTCCATATTCAGACAAACAGTTTTTATGTTTTTCATTATGCTCCTTCACCACGTAAGCTTGGCACTCTAGTCAAACCTGAGTTAGGTGTAGGCATCTGTTCTCAATGCTTTAAAACGTAGCTAAAAGTTCCTACAAACGCTGTTGTCAAATAAATGTAGCACAATAATGTCTTCCAAGATGTAACGGAGTGCAAGCAAAGGGGACAGTTAGACAAACAGGCAAAAATAAAATTAGTAAACCAACATATTCAATAAAGTCATAATTATAAAACATAATTATAAGTAGCAGCCAGAAGTGTAAAGTATCAAAGTATGTTTACTCAAGTACTGCACTTAATTACAATGTTGAGGTACATTACTTGAGTATTTCCATTTTATACTTTTACTCCACTACATTGATTTAATACCTTTAGTTACTTTGTAGATTTGGATTCATAATGTGAAATATATCAACACTTAAATAAGACTTTAGTTACACCTGGAGAACATTCACAAGCGACCCGGCTGTATACAAAGTAATTAAAACTAGCTGCACCTTTACCAGCTTTGATAACACTTTAATGCATCAATAATTGTAGTCAAAACATATAATATATAATTATGTTTCTGGAATGGATCAATTTGTATAATACATACTTTTACTTTTGATATCAATATGTTTCTGGAATGGACCAATCTGCAAAATAAATACTTTTGGTACTTTAGGTATATATTGATGCTAATACTTTTCTCCTTTTACTTGAGTAATATTTTGAATGCAGGACTTTAACTTGTAACAGAGTATTCTGGTACTTATACTTAAGTACAACAAGATAGATAGGTACTTTATTGATCCCAATTTGGGTCATTTTTGCGTATAGGCAAGGCAATGTACATGAGAGAAATATACATATGGAAAATATACATAGATCTGAGTACTTTTGCAGCTCTGGTAGCAGCATTAAGAAAACATGTAACAGATACTCAAGTTATTATGCTACAAGTATGAGCAATACTTTTCATGTACTTCCACCACGTGTTGGTTGGTTGCCGGGCTGTTTTATTACATTGCATCTCACCACCCCGCACAGCTGTTGTTGTGTCCTGAATGTGGCACAATGCTCTGTAGTCTCGGTTTCAATATCCTAGTTAGATACTCATACGCACGATGACGACCACCATGATAACACTGTTGATTTTTTTTGACGCTATGGAGTATCTCTGGACTAGAGTTTTAAACTCTCCTCTGCCCGCCCGGCGTCAGCCAATAGGAGGGGGGGCGGACCGCACCCACTGGGGAGTTGTCTGCGTCCTGCTAACCTGATTGGACTGCCTTACAAAAGGGCAGACACGCTTAACTCTTCTTCACTTGAACAACCGCCTCCTCCCCCTCCCGCGGTACAGAAATAGAAAGGTTTGGGCACTTCTAGTAGAGAGCTTGAGGACACATCAGCAAAATATATCTGTCACAGGTTTAACCAGGCTCGGAGTCCGTGTGGTTATCAATAAACCGGGAGAAATCTTCATTCTGCTCGGCAGCGTCAGTCTCAGACCCAGGAGAGGATATTGCACAGCGCTGCACTAGTTTGTAAATAATACAAGTTAAAACAGATTTCCGGGAAGTATTATCCTTCCAATAATACGTTTTGTCAGTCAAAGAGGTAACTTAACACTTTCAAAGCGTAAGATTTTTGAGGGAATGGCATTGGACTTCGCTGCAGGCTGCATAGGAGGTAAGTAATTGGCCAGTATTGATGTTCGCTAGCCACGTTACCCAGGTTAACAAGTGGAAGCTAGCATTAGCATTAGCCAGCTTTCCTTTTTTCCCCCATCTTCAAGCAACGCGTGGACAGCTCACACAGTGAAGATAGGGATTTGTCTCCCACTGCCACGTCTCAGAAACATTTTAAAACAAACCACAATAGCAGGCTAGAGACTCATCTTGCAAGATACTATTCTTAAATATAAATTCCCGGATGTAGTTACATTCCATACCTGTAACTCAGAGGGAGTGGTGTGTATAGTCTGCCATTCAAATTGTAACTCGTTTTAGATTAATTTAGCTTGCTCAAATCAGTTTAGCTCAACCCAAAAATAAAGGGGAACAGGATTTGTGTATCAGTGCATCAGGTGGATATAGCATCATCTCTTCTCGTGATTATTTATCATGATATATCAGACACATATTTACACTAGGGGCTTATTTCCACATAATAATTCATTATAATAATCAAATGTAAAGATAGAATAAAAAAAATAGTGCATTGTAATCAACTAGATTAATCATAAAATGTTGTATTGATCAGTAACATTTCTCTCTTCCCTCATCTTGGTCATTATCTACCCTGACCTCAATCTGACCCCCCATTACATTACCTAACACTCGATATGTTAAAGACCATTCAGAAATCTTCCGATCCCCAATGTCCCTACCATTTTCCAATATAAAGTGATCCCTTGAACTCCAACCACTCCCCTTACCCATTTCGGATGACTTCTAAAATACTGGAAAGTCAGGATATTTCCCAGTATAACTAGAAGACGTTACAAAATGGACAACCTGAAGTTGACTGAGTTCATTGCTTACCGTTTGATTATAAATACCTCACAGCCAGTTTTTCCTGGTAGTCTCACCATTAACCCCTGAGAATCTTGTCAGCTGTTTTGTCTTCACCCAAGGCCAGGTCTTCCCAAACTACCCCAGACTGTACCACTTTAAGGAGCAGAGGCCCTGATGGGATGCACGTTTGCAATAATGCACAATGCGATGAACGTTTTGGGTCTGAAGACTAAGGCATACATTACAAAAGAATGTTGTTGTATTTGGTAAAATATGTCTAAATACCAGCCTGTTTTGTGTGCATCGCAGTCAGGGATAATTGCATTAATTCATTCAAACTTTATAATAACTAGGAGGACATTTAAGCATGAGAATAGCCATTTGGAAGAAATAATTAACATATCCTTGTCTCCAATAAACACAAATAGGAAGCATTAATTTTAAAGAAAGCCATTAAATGTCAGGCAAATTAATTCAATAAATAAATGAAGTTCAAGGGAAACAGGATGACCTTTTTTTAGATTCCACTAAAGATAAAAGTGCTTTGGATAGTGCGTTACATTTCTGAAGTTGCACGGGAAAAACTGGTTTGTTAAGCTCAGTTAAAACAAAGCGCTTCTGCAAGTGTTGTACAATAATTAGAGCATGTTTGAAATGGATTCAGTCCAACTCTGCTGTAGACAGTTGTTATTCATTCACTAATACATACAAGCCTGTGCCAAGGAAAGCCGGTTGCACCATAGTTATAACTGGAGGTAGATGTGTTTTTTAATCATAAGCTCAAGACATTAGATCATTAGAATTGGGATGCACTCCCATGAATAATTATGTTAACGTTTCTACACCACAGAGTTTAATAATGAGCCTTTGTTTCCCTCTGTCTATAAACAACATTTCAAAATCAGTAAATATGTTTGCACACATTTTTAGTTCATGGACAACAGGATATATAGGTTGAACAGTACACATTTGAATATTAGGTGATCGTGTGTCATGACTAGAATTTCCTACCGTATAATAGATTTATGTCTCAGTCAAGTCAAGGACAGGTCGTGCACGTAAAGCCGTCATCAGCGACCAGCAGATTATACGTTTGCTTTTGAGTGAAAAGCCACTTCCATTATGATGACCTTTTTTTTTTTTTATAAATATGATTTAAAATCCTGTCAATTCTTTTCTCAGGTGCTGCTGGTGTTTTGGTCGGACATCCATTTGACACAGTGAAGGTGGGTGTGTGTCCATCGTCATCACTATTTACTCACATTAGCCAATGGCATGATCCAGTACTTTGCTTTGAGTGTTGTAATTTTGACCACTCTGTAAATACAGTGAGTTTACAAGAGGAATCAGATGCTGTAATCGAAGACCTTTAGATTATGTTTTTCTGTTGTACAGTTGCATTTCTTAAATTCTAAACATATTTCTTTCCCCCAAAAATGCAGTATTTATCAGCAACCATACCTATGTACCAAGAACGTGCTCTCACTTCCTTTATAAGTGAAATAGTCTTTTATTACTGGCATTTTACTGAGTAACTCCTGCACTCACTAACCCTAAACAGTCATTGTTTTCAACTAACCCCAAGGTCACATAAAGTAACCTAGTCTCTTTAGTTAGTGGACTAATGTATACTCCTTTTGGCAGACAGCTATCAAGGATAAAATGAAACATTGTGCATGGTTTTTCGACATTGCATTTTTAGGATACCGTGACTTATAAGATTGCATTGAATTTGCTGTGATATATCATTCACTTGATTTGTTTGAAAAGGCAAGAAAGTTACATTTAGCACACCATTGTTTGAATGTCATTTCTCCCTGAGCTGTTGTTGGGTCTTTAACAGCAACAGTGTCGCTGTGTTGTAGATGAGAGAGAGAAATAAACAACCTCTCCATGGAAATGTGACCTAGTAAGTATGGTCAAGGTCTTTCTTTTCCTCTCACCCAATGTCTTGTCTTTAAGCTATAGCAATACAAAGCACAGAAGACATTACGTTTTGAATACAACTTTATTTTGGTTATTTTCTCCCCCTTCGTGTTGCATCCCATTTTCACCCTTAAAAAAGAAACATCTGAAAGCTCTAGCTGTTGTTTTTTAACCCCTTTAAACCTGTGTTATAATGTGCGTTTTGTAGTTTTTGGCTTCATAACTCTTGGATGTCTCTAACATGAAGCATATCATTCGCAGGTGAGACTTCAAGTTCAAAATGTGGACAGACCCCTGTACCGTGGGACATATCACTGCTTCCAGTCAATCATACGGCAGGAGTCGGTACGTTGTCTTTTTTTGTTTCTTCGAATGCAGCTCCATACCTCGTGTGTGTTAAGTAATGAGTGTGACTTTCAAAATGTGCCAAGTACTCTGCCGCGGTTCAAGAGGGTCACTTTAATGTAGCCGGTTTCACTCTAAGCACATGCAGCAGCCAGCATGTTCCTACATGGGGTGTTAGGGGGTGGGAGGTGTGTCTGTGAGCCAGGGCCAGTGAGGACCTTATCCTGCGTGGGCTAAATAAAGCTTTGGGACATCATGCCATTTGAGCTGAGTGGAGAGTTTGGTCTCTGAGTTTCTTGCAGGGATTATTAGGTTGTATTCCTCCTACACCACAATATGAATATGTTATAGTGGTTCCTGGCCTATTGGTCCCTCGTAATCTAATTTGTCAGCAATCATTTAGTAGTATCCACAATTCAATGTTTTTAATATTACATTTTGTTTTAACCTTGTTCAGTGTTTCCCACAGATCTGAAATATACTTGGGCGGGTGGTGGCAGCGGGCGGGGGGGTGCGCAAAAAAAAAAAAAAAAAGTTTTCATTTTGTATAATCATTTTGCGTAAAGATGGCACTCAAGGGCACACTAGTGGTGGTGTTCCTGGCGGGATTTGAACTCACAGCCTTCCGATCTTCAGCCCACCTCACTATCCATTAGATCAATCACTACCCTCTCAAATGGAAATATGTGTTTACATAAATGGTGACCACACCGTTTGAGACCCACTGAGAACTTAAACTAAGTTAACTATCTACACTCAGAGAGTCCTTTACCTCACCTGAGCTGAGGTTCTCCCGAGCTTGAATGACACACAGAGACCAATCAAGGGCTTTGATTTATGATCTCTATGACAGTGGCCATGTTGGCAGGCCACATCATGTAGACCAGAGGTGCCCAGTACGTCGACCGCGGGCGACCGGACGACCGCGGGGGCAATTCTGGTAGATCGCGAGTCATTCATTAAAAAAAAAATCCTGTTCCGTTAAAATAGACAAAACAGGTTTTGATCCCATCTCCCTTGGCCTCCCTGCCACTTAATTCAGGAGTTTACTTGATTGACAGAAAAAGCGACCTATCGCTTTCCAGTCTGTTAACCCAGAATGCAAAGCGATACAAAATCAGTCAAGTGCCGGGAAAACTCAAATTAAGTTAAAGAGACAAACAAGAGACAAACAACAAAATGAGTGCGGGACCGAGCAAGAAGCTAAAGACAAACCACTTCCACCCAGAATGGGAGGAAGAATATTTTGTTGTGATGTCACATTCAAAGGTTATTTGCCTTATTTGTAAAGCAAGCGTCGCTCTGCCAAAGAAAGGTAACGTGGAGAGGCATTATCGGAGTGTTCACAAGGCATATGACAGCGACTTCCCTCCGAGTAGCGAGTTGAGAAAGAGAAAGGTCATGTATTATTCCTACACAAATATTATCTCGCAATCTTAGTGTCGCCAACTCGTTTCTAACATGCAAAAAGACAAACAAATGTCGGTGTATTTTCGATCTTTCCAATCGAGACGAGATCTCTCTCCCGTCTGTGCGCGAGGGGGCGGGGCAGTTTACACACACGCGGCTGCTCCATGCAGCAACACACGGAGGAGATGGCGGAGAGAAGCGCTCCAAGGTGTGGTTAAATGTTACCCGTCTTGAGGTGGACAATGCTCCTTGCCAAGAGAGTTCAGCATGTGAGGGGCGGTAACACGAGCATGTGTCAAACATTTAGCAAAAGTGCACCACATTCAGACGGAGGAATGCACCGGGTTCGACTGTCTTTCTAGCAGCCCTGTAGCCCCATCCACGAGTAACGTTTCCACGTCAGGTGTTATGTATGCTAGCAGCAACACACGCAGTTAACTCAATGATTCAAACATGGGTTAATGATTAGAGGAAACTGAGTTACTCTTTATTTTGTTAAAGTTTCAGCTATTCTGTTTACAGTTCTGTCATCAGATTATTTAATACGATTTGTTAAAACATTGTTGTTTCTTTTGATGTGAAATATTATTTATTTAATTTAAATAAAAAGCAATGTTAGTTTTGTTCACAATTTGTTAATTTAATAATATATGTATTTTTGAATCAAGTATTCATCTTTATTGTCTTCATTGTTAGTTTCCACATGCCTAAAACAACCTCAAGCTAAATCTAAAAGTTGATGGCTAAATAAGAGCGTTTGAGAAATTGTGCAAGGCATACAGTAATAGTCTGAATAGTCGATTAATCGTTTCATTAATCGATAGATTAATCGATTATCAAATTAGTCGTTTGTTGCAGCCCTATTATCCCATGTATAAATAAAACGTGTTATTCAGCAACCCTTGCAATTTGGGATTTTATTTTTGGTTGGTAGACCTCGGTGAGCTGGTCATTTCAAAAGTAGCTCACCAGCCCAAAAAGTGTGGGCACCCCTGATGTAGACAGCCAGTCACCCTGTGTGAGGCAGGCCACTTAACGAGGCGAGATCAGAGCAAGGAAGCGAGGGATCATTGTCCACAAGTTAATCGATCGCAGATGGCGTCGTGGTCACGGACGAATAAAAAAAAAAAAATACAAAAAAAACCTATAAAAAAAAAAATGGGTCGCGAAATATACTTGGGCGGCCGTTAATATACCTGGGCGGCCCGCCCAAGTATAGTCTATGTGTGGGAAACCCTGTTGTTACAAAAAGTAATTTCAAGCAACTACACTGTAGTCTCTGAGCTGCATGCTGCGGTTAGTTGTGAAGTGTCATTTGAAGTCTTCAAGCATCATCAGCTCTTTTATGATAGTAGAAATCATGACAACTATAGGCATCACATGTACATTTGACATCAGATGTTGGGTTATGACACTGATTGTACAGATTTAAATCAATCGGTGCATTTAGCCAGATACTCATAGTTGTATGCATTACAGATGAGCTGTCAACTAAAAACAAACAAGCCTCAAAATTGAAAACGTTTCAAATTCAACACATTTCTCTGCTATGATTATTAACACCATGAGCTTCATTTGAAGGAGTTTTTTAGGGGAGTAACAACCCCGTATTTAAAAGTGTGTAAATCTTGCTGTGTTTCCTCATTGGTTCCAGTAATCTGTGTTTGTGTCTGTAGATGACCGGTCTGTACAAAGGCATCGGCTCTCCTATGATGGGCCTGACCTTCATCAATGCCATAGTGTTTGGCGTCCAGGGCAACGCCATGCGCAAGCTTGGCCGTGACACGCCTCTCAACCAGTTCCTGGCTGGAGCGTCAGCAGGAACCATCCAGTGTGTCATCTGCTGCCCCATGGAGCTGGCCAAGACGCGCATGCAGCTGCAAGGGACTGGAGAGAAGAAGTCTAAGAGGAAGCTGTACAAGAACTCCCTGGACTGCCTGGTGAGAATATACAAGAAGGAGGGGATCCGAGGGATAAACCGCGGCATGGTGACCACCCTGATGCGCGAGATGCCCGGGTTCGGGGTGTACTTTCTCGCTTGGGACTCGTGGACCCGTTACCTGGGCTGTGAGCCGGAGGACCCTTACATGATCCTCAAGCTGTTGTTCGCCGGTGGAATGTCTGGCATCGCTTCCTGGATCTCCACCTATCCCGTGGATGTGATCAAGTCGCGTCTTCAGGCGGACGGGGTGGGCGGGGTCAACCAGTACAGTGGCATTAAGGACTGTGTCCAACAGAGCTTAAAGAAGGAGGGTTGGAGGGTGTTCACACGCGGGCTCACGTCCACTTTGCTCCGCGCGTTCCCAGTCAATGCTACCACATTTGCCACTGTGACTCTATTTCTGATGTACATGCGCGAGGGACAAGAGTGTAGCATTGTGGACTCGGAGCAGCAGCCTGTCCCGCTGCAGCCACAGACGCAGCCAACCAGCATGTGAGCTTTACGTCAGTCCGCAAGTGTGATGACAGGAAGATGAAATACGATTTTTAACGTAGGTCTATGATCTGTTAACCGGTGTCTATAATGAGAAAGGTAAACTGACCCTAGGTTAGGCCATGGAGCTTTAGCCAAGTGACCACATGTATTATTTAAATAATATATATATATTTTAAGATTAATGCTGCACTTGTAAATATGGCATGGTTTTTTTTAAAAGGTCCTTGGTTTTTTTTACACTTTTTTGTTTTAAGTAATTTAGGACTGTTACATAAGTTACTGCAAAACTACAGAGTAAAATAAGTACTGTCTTTAATGCTGTGCGCTAGAGTAGCATCTGTTGGTGACTAATTAATTGGGGGGAATTTCAAGGCAAGAATGGCAAAGTACTGTTTTCAGCCTCCATGATGTGGATATCTTTAGCTTTTCATATGATAACAAACAAAAAAAGCTCTGGGCTGACAAAACAAGACATTTAAAGACATGTTTACTGTATTTCTTGCTAATTTCACTCAAAGTAAAATGTGTGTTTTTTAAAATACACATGTAAAATGTTTCTTGTATCATTTGAGCTATCCATATTGTTCTCTCCCTGATGTCCAGGTCAAGTAATCCGCTATCTGTTAACACTGCATTCTTATGTTAATGGTTACAAATACAAACAAAGACGTAGAAATGGTTGTATTCTTTTTTGACTGTGACCTATGAGAAGGCATGAGTTAGATGCAAAGAGTTGCTACTTTCGGTAGTTATAATTGGGATGATTACAGGCTCAGGCATTGGCCCGTTACATTATGAAATAACATGGTGTAGATACAGTCGTCTACAAATAAATCATGATTAATGTTTTTAAACACAATCATTGTTCTAAACCAAATCTGATGCAGTCTATTTGTTCTGGACATTGTAAAGTGTCCAAGGACAGCACCTTATGATAGAAAGCACATTTGCAGATACAAACTATTATTTTCTCCATCAATTCTCACTTGATTGTATATTTCCCACTAATGAAAGATTATGTTACAGTGTTACCCTAAGATGATGGCTTGATAAAAGTGGCTTTTTTTAAAGCCCAACATTTATTTTTAAACCTTGTGCTTCTTGTCGATAGGTGGTAGATACAATATTTAGAAGGCTCTACACTTTGCACTGTGTAGACATTAGACCATCTGAGTCACAAGTGGTATTTTTGAAGCGAACTGGTCATTTGTTAAAAGCCTACTGTTCAGCCATAATGTAAATATATAGGATCTTCTTTCAAAGATAAAACTAAACCATTTGCTATTGATAGCGTTGTCTTTAAATGTGGCCTTTTAGCTTTGTCAGTAATCTTTGGACAAACAAAGACAGAATGTCCACACACTGTTGTGAAATGAAGTGACAGCATTACAGTCTTAATCAGACATTGCGGTTGTGCATCAGCCTTTACAATCTGGTTAGGACCCCTTTGCGTTCCTCTCAATGTTAACCTTCAGTCATTATATAACAGAGTACACACAGGGCAGTGTGACCTCTGTACCCTGTTAACAGCTGCTCCATTTCACAAACGTTTTACATTTAGCAGGTTTAAAATGTAACACGTCTAACACTGAAACTGCAGTCCGGCACAAATCACACATTTATCTTTATGTCTGCAGTACTAAACTACTGCTGCTGCTGCTGCTGTAACTCGTCAATGAGGTGACTGACCTGAAACAGCTTGGGGTTGTCCATACACACAATACTGTATGTACTGTGAATTTGGTGTTTTAATGTCATCCTTTATACGTTTGAAAGTGTGAACTATAAGTGGGCTAAATATGGTTTCTTTAATTATAATCTGTTTTTCTGTTTCTAGATATATTTCTTGTTTAAAAGTGTGTCTGACAAGTGGATGATTCATTATGGTTTCTTTATGAAAGGGATGTTTTATCTGTCTGATGTTGCCTTTGTGTTCTGTGATGTTAATGTAACTATCTTGCAGCATGCACACCATGTAGCTCTTGAATGGAGAAATAAAGGTCAACATTTTTTCTCATGTTTTTGGAAAAACAGTTTTGTTGTACAGCATCAACATGTTAAAATAAATAAATGGATGAGTTGATTTAGGTAAGTGACTCTAGAAAAATGTGAAAGTCTGACCTCTAGTGGTTATAGATGGATATCACAGGTACTGCTTATATTTGATTCTGAAGCACACTCATTCAAATCCTTCACATAAATATGGTGTGATACTTTTGTATAAAAATATCATTGTTTATTAAAGAAAGGTTATACCTTATTTCTTTCAGAGTAGCATTGTAAACAAATGTATCCATTATTATGACAAAATAATAAGTTATTCAAGTGACAAACAAATATAGATTTCTTATGATTCCTCATGGTAGTGCTTTAACTGAGTCTGACAGCATTAGTGCCATTTATCAAGGATCACATTGTATGTTATAACATACAGATAGGTGACTGGTGTTCCCTTAATATCCTGACTGTCTTCTCTTATAGATAAACAACTTCCGAAGGAGAAGTTGCTGGGCATAGCATAGTAACGGAACAGAGGAACATATTGTCTTTTTCTTACAGAGCTTCCCTTCCCCGCTGCTAGCTGCTCTTCCCTGCTGTGGATGAGTTCATCATGAAGGAGTCACAGGAGTAGCGCAGGAAGCGGTAGATCTCCTCGGCTCTGGATCGACTCATACTGCCTCCCTTCTGTATGGCTTCAATGGAGCTGCAGGAGGGGAGAGGACACTGTGTATAATCAATCAATCAACAACTGTATTAATCCCGCAAGGGGCAATTGGTTATGAGCAGCTCACGTCATGTACACAGGCAGGAACATACAGGAAGAAAGCACACAGATACACCCGGGAGCAGAGATGTGGATCATTCCAATTTAGACGATAAGTAGTTCAGAGCATCACAATCAATAAATAATCAAATAAAAAAAACCTATCAAGAATTTAAAAGTTTGAGTGCAGAGGGGATGAATGATTTTGAAAAGTGATTTGTCTTAAGAGCAGGTAGAGCATATCTACGCCCTGATGGCAACGGAACAAATTAATCTGCAAGAACATGACCTGGAGAGGCCAGAATGCTCTCTGCTTTCCGCTGCTAGTTACAAAAGGAGTTTAAGTCTCTCTCCGATGACCTTAGAGCAGGTTTTAATAATGTTGTTCAGGCTGTTCCTGTCTCTCAGTGAAGGGAAAGAAGCCATCTGAACATGTTTGCCCACGATGCACACACTCTTCCTTCTACCTGTTGATGAGTTGGGCGATGGAGCTGAAGTTGTGGCTCAGGCTGAGGGCGTGGACGTAGCTGACGGAGGGCAGGCCGAGGTACAGCTGCAGGGCCTGCTGCCGGTGCGACCCTTTGACCTCCAGCGGCACGCTGATGGCCTGACCTTTCCGCTGCTCCAGCCGGGCCAGGTCTGCCAGCAGGCCGGCGCTCTGCTCAGCGCCGTCGCTCCACAGCAGGCGCACCCCCGTACTCACCAGAGCCGTCAGAGTGCTGTCATAGCAACGCGTTCGCTGAAACGGACGTGATGCCTCACCTGTGGAGGAAACAATTATCATGAGCAGCAGATATATATCTCATGGTAGAACTGGGATAATGAATACTTTATACTTTTGGTACTCGGAGGGAGGTATTCTACTTTTTACGGCACTATATTTATTTGACAGATTCAGATTATCAATAGAAAATAGAAATAAACAAATGAATGATGATATATTGTTATAGATGAGGCTTTCACTAGAATCAGTGCTTCTCAAAGTGTGGTCCGCGGACCACTGGTGGTCCGTGAGCGCCCCCATGTGGTCCGTGAGTATATTGGTAACATTTCACATTTGAAATAAATAAATACATTTAAGTTTTCCGCACTCTCGCGGGAATATCTCCGCAATTGAACGAGCTTAAGTTTCACTTTCTATTGCATGATAAAGCCCAGGGCAACACCTTCGTCACACATGTTGCCACTTGTTTGTACCATTTCCAGGCGATTTATAATCTGTTCTAGAAAAACGATGTGTTTTGGGATATTTGTGGAGTTAGGTGGTCCGCGAGTATTTTTTTATTGGTTAAGTGGTCCTTGGTATGAAAAAGTTTGAGAAACACTGCACTAGATTATAAAGTCTTTCAAATTAGTTCCATCTCTAACAGCTGCATCAGCAATCTGAAATAAACCATTCTGTACACCGATTGCTTTTACTTGTACTATTAGTATATATTGACGCCTACACTTGAGTACTCATGTAAGACTTTAAATGCAGGACTTTTAGGTGTAAGACTGTGATAACGCTATACTTGTTATTATGTTAAATATGTGAGTAGTTCTTTGATTGATTACTAATTCATATTAAATCAAATTATTGTGTGAACTATCATATTTTCCTGTAATACAAATATAGGCTAATAATCTACAAAACGTTGCTTATCAAATCAACCGTCTGACTGACCTGGCTTGGACCGGTCCTTCTCCACTATGAGACAAACTCGCTCGAACAACCCCTGCAGGCTGTTCACTCTCTCAGCCAATCGCTTCCGGTTCTGCATTGCTGCCAGATCTGATTGGCTGTGCTTCTCCACTGCCGTGCGGTTGCTGACGATGAAGTAGCTGCCGTCCAGTGAGCAGACGTGGAGGGTGGCTGCGTGGCGCTGACGGAGGCTGGTCATCAGCTCCGACCCTCCACTGAGGCAGCGGCTGTCCACTAGGATGCAGACGGGAGGAGCACTGACGGATGAACTCTGAGCGGAGGACGTCTGCGGCTCTGAGGAGGGGGCAGGGGGGGCCTGGACCTGCAGGAAATCCTCAATGAAGTTTTATTGAAGTATGTTTTAGGGATCATGGGTCAAGTTCTCACATACGGACCTCTGCATCACTCTCAGTGTTTAAGAAAAGCCTCAACACCCACCGCACCACGTTTTACTATCTGTCCTTTTTTTTTTTTTTTTTTAATTCTTTTTCATTCACCTTTTTTATATTACCATATTGTATTCAATATGCTCCTTAGATAACTATATTTCTTATTTTATTTTCTCCTCATAGCATTGTGAAGCACCTTGAGAGGACGTTTTTAAAGTGTGCTATATAAATGAAATGTATTATTATTATTAAGTTTCCCTTCTAACACTGAGTATAACCCATAAGTGTGTGTGTGTGTGTGTGTGTGTGTGTGTGTGTGTGTGTGTGTGTGTGTGTGTGTGTGTGTGTGTGTGTGTGTGTGTGTGCTTGTACCTGGGGTTGTTTCTTGGAGGATACCGGCAAATCGGACTCTGCAAAGTCTAGTTCATCAGAGAGCAAATGCTGATTTTCTAATCTCCGACGATGCCTGCACGAGAAAGAAAATGATTCTCTCGTGGTTGTTGAATGTTTCCTCGATATTCCCTGCACAATAATCAATAACCAACCTGAACTTTTTCTATTGTTCTGTGTTTTTTTAATGTAATAATTACTTTTATAGTTCATGTTCAACAACGATATTGCTTGTAAATAAAACATGATATTCTTGCTTGTTCAAAATGTTTGTGAACATCACCGTACACTCCAAATGTATATTTATGTATAGATGTTGTGATTGTACAAGGCTTTGGCAGTACTGTATGTCATTATGGTCATGCCAATAAAGCTATTTGAATTGAATCTTTCTGTTTGTGTACTACCAGATGAGAATGTCTTTACCTCTCATTTTGCTGTTCCGCACTCACTGAGCTCCTCTTTGCCTTGCTCAGCAACGACACTTTGGATGCTATGGTTGAAGAGGATGAGGAGGAGGAAGGCTTCTGTTGCTGCTCAGGCTGTACTGCCTGTGGCCACAAGGGGGTAGCAACACCCCCTTCTGTTGCTAGACTTCTCCTTATAGCTTCCTCCATCTCCTCATCACTTGAATCATTCATCTGTATGACACGGGTGCGTTTGGTTTTCACACCAGCTGTCTTTGGAGGACATCCAGGTGTAGCCTTAGCGCCTGCTCTGGCTTTGTGGAGGAAAACCCGCCGTCTGGTGGCATACTGCCTCCGCCCCTCCACATACGACTCCTCGGGCATAAGGTCAATGTCTTCAGCCTCCTGCTCGCTGCTCTCCCCCTCCCCTTCATCATTTCCCACCACAAAGCTGTCCTCTGCATATGTTTCATCCATCTCAGGCACCTGTTAGGAACATGGACTCGAGTCAATCATAACTGTTTTCATTGTTATGATAAGTTGTATATGCATTGAGAAGGAAATATCCAGTATACCTGAGAAAATATGTCCATGTTGTTATGATTTTTGTAGGACAATTTAAACTTTCCATGGACAGCTGGGCTTCTCACAGACTTTAGGTAGACACCTTGCATCTCTGACTCTGTCATAAAACAAACAGGAAGCCATCTTCAATTCAAACAGTCGGTTGATTACATTTGAAATCTACTTCACTAGGGTACAAAAAAAAATCTAATTTCTTCAGATAAATCCACGGTGTACCATTCAGTCCTTGAGAGCAGTGTGTGTTGTCCACCACAAAGCCTTCCAGAGAGTGGTTCTGATCTTCTCCATCCTCTTCATCAGAAGACACGTCTGACCCCTCCTCCTCTGACAGCTTTGCTTCTTCATCCAGGAACTGCCGACCTCTTCGACATTTTGGGTGCTGAGGAAAACAAAATGACAAATGCCAAAGCTGATTGGTGTTGACGGTGTCTGATAGATATTTATAGACTTGACATTTTATGTTCAGAGGATCTGGAATGTTTTATGATTGTTTTGAGGGAGGCAAAACAACTTTATTTGGTGTGATTTAAGAGCAGCTATATCATTTATATTTTCTCTATCTTATATCTTATCTATCAACTATTAAATTACAATATAAAAATGTAAAAGGGGTCGCTCGTATGGATCAACACTAAATAGTTTTTACCTGAATCTGCCTCTTCACTCGGAATGTTTTACATGTACAGCTTTTTTCACTCTCAACACTCAGTGCTTTCTTTTTGGACGCAGCACGCAACTGTTTTCAGCCCCAAAAACACATGACTTATTTATGGTATAAAAACAAATGCAGGAAGAAAATACA